GCCGACGGCGTTCGCTCCCGTCCCCCCTCCCCAGGCACCCACTACATCCGGGGGGTGAACAACACCCGCCAGCCCTGGCACAGCTCCGAGGGCCGCAAGCAGTACAGCCTGAAGCCCGCCAACCCCACGGAGGAAGGCTTGGCCAGCCTGCACAGCGTCCTCTTCCGCAAGCAGCCCTTCCTGTGGCGGGCAGCCCTGCTCTACTACACCATCGAGCGGGCCAGCCGCCTCTCCTTCTCCGCCCTCTTCCAGGACCTGGAGCAGTACGTCCAGGACGCCGGCGTCCGGTGGGAGTACTGCGTGCGGGCGAAGCGGGGCCAGACCGACACCTCGCAGCCAGGTACCGCTCGGGGGGGGTGAAAAGCCTTCGGGATTTGGAAGGGATTTTTTTTTTTTTAAAGAAAAACTAGAGGTCGGGTATATTTTGCCGCTGGGTGAGTTGAGCATCACTGACCCCATTGCCACAGCAGCCTTTGAAATGGTGGCTCTGCCCCGCACTGCGTCCCTCCCCATCCCCAGCACCGCTCTCCTACGGGTTTACCCTTTATGGCAGTGACCTTTTACAGGCAGTCCCGGCACATCAGCTCTTTGGCTGCGCAGGGTGAGGCGGGGAGGGATGGGGCACCCTGGGGAAGCCCCATAAGGTGGTTGCAGTCTGATGGGAGCGACTCGCACAAGCTCGCGGGGAGGCAGCAGCCAAAGGAGAGGAAAAAGCTGAGCGTTTCTGGGGATGCATTTAGATTCTTGCAGGGGTTTAACATTAAACACAAAAATCCATTGGGAGGAAGGGTGAAAGCATCGCGGTGAGAGGTTTGGGGCTCTCGCTGCGCCCAGCTGCCTCCGTGCTCCCCAGCGCTCATCCTTTGGGCCCCGGCGGTCCTGGCCACACCACCAGCAACGCCTGAGCCCTTGCGCACTCGTGTCGCCCTGGTCCAGTGCCATCACTCCGGTTATTGTGGTCAGCAGACGTTCGGGCAAGCGGAGGGCGGTGGGGAGCCAGGCTCCCGCTCTTTGCTCTTCCAGGCTGTTTAAGTAAGGACCAGGTCTACCTGGACGGGATTCTCCGCATCCTGCGCCATCGACAGACCATCGACTTCCCGCTGCTGGCTGCGCTTGGAAAGGTAATGGCTTGGGGGGGGGGGGGGGGGGGGAAGAGAGGGCGGGGGTTGGGATGTTTTTCTGGGTGTGTTTTTGGAAGAAATTTGCTTTAGGAAATTTTGCCTTGATTGATTCGGCTGATCCCAGAGCCCCCCGTCCCATCCCAAAGCTCACGTGGGCTCCCACGGGCCCGTGTTTTCCTGAAAACAAGCCCTTGGCTGGAGGCCCTTCAGCTCTTTGCCTTTCCCTGCGCGTATGGGTTTCGGTGGAGCGGGGGGAGGCTGTGCTGGGTAGGATGCGAGGAAGGACAGGACAATCCGGCCTCCTCTGTGGGAGACCCTTGGGGAGAGGTTTAACCCAGCGGCTCTAAGCCCTGCCGGCCGCGCTGCTGGCCCTCTGCCTTGGCCACAGCGGTCCCGCTGTTACCTGTCCCTGCAGCGACAGAAAATGACCAAACCCACAAATCCTTGCCAAGGCCTCCCCGAGCGGCTCTGCCGGTGCCTCCCCGCAGGCAGGAGGGCTGTTTGGGCAGGGGGTGGGTGACCCAGGTGGGCTGCAGGGGGGGGCCAGACCCCACCCCCCCCACCCCCCCTTGGATGGAGGGGGCGTTGCTGACCCCATCTCCCTGCTTCCCATCAGGTGTCCTATGAAGATGTGAATCGGCTGAAGAAATTTGGGGTCCTGGAGAAGGCCCGCATCCCCCATTTCATGCAGGACCTGGAGCGGTACATGAAGCAGCTGGACCACATCGTCACCACCAACGGCCTGAATGAGGAGGAGCTGGAGCAGCTGCTGCCTGACTGAGGGGCATCCCTCCCCCCTCACCCTCCCCAAACCAGCACCCCAGGGGTGTAACTGCTGCCATTTATTGGATAATTATTGGGGCTGGAGCCTGGAGGAGAGGGCAGAGCCTGGGCCTCCCCCCTGCGCCCGGGCGGCCGCTGTGCATGTACCGCTGTGTAGGGTAGCGCGGCCGAGAGGGCCGGTGTGGTTAGTGTTGATGTGTGTCCCCCCCCCACCCCGACACACACCGTCCCCTGTGCATTTTTTGGGGGATGGCTGCGTGGCTCCGCGCGGCTTTGGGGAGCCGGAGAAGAGGGTTCAGAGGGAGCGAGGGCAGAGCTGGGGCGATGTGCTGGTCCCCCAGAGGTGCAGGAGGCCGTGCTGGGGTAGTTGCAATGGAGGGGGACGCCCTTAGGGGTACCAGGGGGTGATCCCAGCAGAGCGGGGACACCTATTCGGGGCCAGCAGACGGGGCCGGGGGCTCTGGGCTGTGCCTGGCAGCACTGGCAGGGAATAAGGG